GCCATTGTAGACGGACCTTAAGAAGTCTCGACAGCCTCGAAGCGAAAAATAACGAGGAGGATGTGTTGCATTACTTAGGTTATATTTTTTTTTTAAATCTTACCAACTTCGATCGCGCGTTTTCGTTTCTCATATTAAAATCTGTCTGGACGCGCGTTTGTGCGGCGTGGACGCATCGTAGACGCAGGCGCCTAGCTGCCCAGTGCATTTATAACCAAGATAGATCTATTGATTAAACATGTCTTCAGACAATTCTGTTATTTCGAACGACGCTAACATTCGAATAAAGATAGAACCTGGCACGTCAGAATCAGAATCCAGCATGTCAGAACCCAGCACATCCGAATTACCGTCGACGTCGCTTTCAGAGAAGGTGAAAAGCATTAAAATGGAACCAGGTTTACCCACCACCACACAGAGGTTGATATCCTACCGGCTACCACGAGACCTAACACTAGGTGGAAATATTAAGGTTGAAAGACCAAAGAAAGTGTATACGCCAAATCTCAATGTGCAAAGGAATAAAAAGAAAGAGTAAGTTATTAATTAACTTGTGACACAGCACAGATTCTAAAGGTAATTTAATTTCAGCGATCCAATGATCTCGGTCAAAACTGAACTGGTGAAACCGAAAAACAGTGATCGTGGAAGAGAACGAGGGAAGGGAGACAGGGGACGTGGAAGAGGAGATAAAGGAAATCTAATACAGGTAATGTTAATATTCTAAATATTCAGAAGGGTTCTTCGTTTACGTGTAAAATATAATCTACATCCACGTATATATAATGTACGTTTTATATATCATCGATGTAAACAATCTATGAATCTTGTTGAATTGAAACTTATGTTCTTTGTCGGTGCATTAGATTACACTAAGCTTCTATTTCGCTTATGTATTTTTATTTATCAATACTAAATGGATATATTTAATTACTTTTTTCTGTAATGTGTTATTCAATTTATAATAATAATTTATGTATTTTACATTGCTTATAGTGTTTATATGATGAAAAAAATTCGCTTAAACTTAACATAAACAATACATAAACATTCCATTATTTGTAGTACGTAATAGTACAAATAACTATCTCAACTTATAAACCTCTATTTTATTATCTTCGAATTTTATTCTTAAGTCTTCAATTTACGTTTTAATTTAATAATTTAATAAATCGTAAGATTATTCTATATATAATGTTTCTAGTCTGTTGGCATATGGTCAGAAGGAATCTATGTAACACCTACCGTTAGAAAGAGTGAAGGTTCTAGAGCTTCTAGTAGCACAGTAAGTGCTGCAAAATATCTGGAGAAACCAAAAATAAATATAAATAAAATTACTAAAGTAGAAGACAGAAGATTACAAAATCTGTTAAGAGATGATTTTATTGACGATGATGTTCCGGAAATTGATGAAAAAATGTGTCCTCTCACGCTACCAAGAATTAAAAAAGATATACATGATATGATCGATAAGATCGATAAGAAACCGGTCATTTCGGAAAATGGTGAAGGTAAGTGTATAATATTCTCTGTAGTATAATATTTTCTTTGGTAATTTTATTAAGTTAAATAATTTTTTTTTCTTTCATAGTCATAAATGAAGAAAAAAGCAGGCAAGACAAAAAGGAAGCATTTACTATTTCTCAAATAATCGAAAACAAGACTAATTCTTATACATTGATACAAGTAAGGATATCATCAGGGTTGGTAACGTTACCTTATAAAAATAACTCGTTACCGTTACCGTTCTTTTTCCTAAAAAGTAACTCGTTATCGTTACTCGTTATTGATTTGCAAAAGTAACTCGTTACCGTTACCGTTTTTCAAAACGTAACGAGTCGTTACTTTTTCGTTACTTTCTTTTCTTGACACTAATAGAATATTATAGTATTTTCATTGTGCGCACTCAGTGCACATTGAAGCCGTTGTACACAACTCTAAATGTAAAAATGAGATATCTCAATTGATGAAGTGCCTAAAATATATTTTATCAAATTGCATAATAAAATGTATTGAAGATTTCGCGGTTTAGCTCGTTTCTATATTTTTATTAATCATACATCTTTACGTCGATTGTACAGCGGCTTTAAAGTGCACTGAATGTGCACTAGTTCTGCCAATAAAAAACGCCATTATATACGTAATTAAATTCCTGCGGTAAATACAAAAAAGATGTCAGAATTCTATTTTTTAGTAGAGAAATAAAACTCAAAAACTGATAAATGTATATACGCTCTAGTTACGATTAAAACTTTTATGTAAATAGAAATAGAGTAACGATAAAAGTAACTAGTGAAATCGTTACCATTACCCCAAAAATGTAACTGCGTTATCAGAACGTTACTCAGAAGAAAATGTAACGTCGTTACCCAATCGTTACCGAAAAAAGTAACTTGTAACGGTAACGACGTTACAAGTAACGCGTTACTTGCCAACCCTGGATATCATGTAATTCATTATAATCATTACTTAATTTAATAATTGATCAACAGTTTCCAGAATCTTTGCCAGGTCTGGAATCCAGTAGAGAAGAAGCAGGATCGAAACAATCAAATAATTCAAATACTCGTAGTGAGAATGACAATAAAGCAAAAACTGAATTTTGTACTTTGAATAATTTAAAAAGTGGTCTCTTAGGCAAACTCGAGATTTTGAGGTCTGGTAAAGCGAGATTACGTCTCGGCGAAATGAGTTTTTTCGTCGACATTGGAGCGCAGCAACGTTTTCAACAAGTATAAAATTATATTTTTATGACTTATAATTTAAAGTATACAATACTGTTACAATCTTCAATAATTAATTACTTTACAGGACCTTTTAGCTGTAAAAATAGATGCTGCATCACAAACCGGTGATCTTATCAATCTTGGTCCAGTGAACAATAAATTAATTTGTTCCCCAGACTTTGAATCTGTATTAAAACATTCATAAGAAATTCTGTAAATATATCATCTTTAATAAAATGTTTATATAAAAGGATGTTCAATTGAAGGATATTCGTAAACAATACATATAATGCGATTATAATTTTTAATACTTCTATATTTTTTATACTAGCAAATTACGTAAATTATTAAATAAATTACATTACGTCTGCAAATTCGGTATGGCGATTCTGATGTCTAGGAGAAATTAGGAGTCACTGTAAAACAGAAACGATTATATCATTTGGGAACACATAGTTTTTGCAAATGGGTTTTCGATTGTTCTTCGACTTGTACAAGTTGCTGTAACATTGTCATTCAAGTGTACTATATTTATTATTATCTAAACACTGTAATGAAAACTAAGCTTTATACAAATTAATTCAAATGAATCGCTGTGTATACGAGTCCTAATTTCACTTGAACTTAGGAACTAAAAAAAATGTATGATATTTTCCATCGGATTCTTCAAACCATGTAAAATCTTTACATTATATCAGTATATATGAATATTCGTATCAATATGAATAAGTACACTCTGTACACTGATACGAGAAAATGAGTCATCACGTAATTATGGCAAATCTTAATGAAATGTGAAGAGAATATCAATTTCATATATATATAAATATATATTTATCAATTATATAAATAGATATAATCATAAATACATATTTATAATTATATATATATATATATCATATGTATATATCATATAATTGTTTTTTTTTAATATATTTATGTGAACTACTTCACAGTGTGAATGCCATTTGATCTTGTTCCGAAGGGATTGAGTGATAAGAATCCAATTATTGATAAGAAACGAAAGATATTCATATTCATAATACAATTAAAATGCTTTGCGATAAAGAGATACATGCATGACACATTTTCGAAGATCGTATATTAACCTCAATCACTTCGTTCAATGCTATGTCCCTTTTTCATTGATTTTAATGCCTTCTCCCGAAGTTTCTTTTCCAGTTCTTCAGTATTACCTTCACTTACATCAGATTCATCTGAATCCGCGACTTTCTTCTTTTTGTGTTTTCTGTGCTTCTTATGTTTCTTGTGTTTCTTGTGCTTCTTCTCTTTCTTTTTTTTCTTCTCTTCGACTTCACTTTCCTAAAAAAGTATCAAAGCTCAATTAATAAACGATCGAAGATAATAAATTTGTTGTAATTTTGTCTATAAAGTCGTTACCTCCGATTCACTAGTGCTGGTTTTTGTCTTTTTCTTACGCTTCTTCTTCACCTTTTCATCGTCCGAACTATCGTCAACTTTTCTTTTCTTCTTCAAATCTTTATCTCCAGGATCGTCATCTTCTGAGCTGGAATCTCGTTTCGATTTCTTTGATTTTGATTTAGAATCCTCTTCACTTGTCGAATCTTTTCTGGACTTTCGTGATCTAGATTTTTCATCATCGGATGAGGTATCTCTTCTCTTTTTCATTTTTTTAGGTTCTTCATCGGAACTAGAGTCTTTCTTCGATTTTCGAGATCTCGATCTGTCATCTTCGTTTCTACCTCTTTTAGATTTTTGTTCTTCTTCACCCGAAGAAGAATCTTTTCGTGATCTTTTTGATTTTTTTAATTCTTCTTCCGTTTCCTTTCTTGAACGCTTTCGCGAGTCATTTTCGGCAATTTCACGTTTTCTAGTATCCTTTCTATCCTTATTACGATCATCCATTGAATCTATAATAAAAATTATTTATAAAATTACTATACATTTATTATTTATATGCAAATTATATATTTATAAATTATAACATGCCAATTATTTATATTTGATATGAAAAACTTACCGGTTCGGCTAGTATCTCTAACTTTCTTATTTTTATCTGAATGCTTTCTGTCATCCTCAGAGTCCGAACTGGATCCAGCTTTGCTCTTATCAGATTTATCTTCATCCGTCGAAGTTTTCTTAGATTTCTTCGATTTTTCTGTCTTTTTCACTTTTCTCTTACCTGTAAAATAAATTTATAAAAGAGAAAAACATTAACATATTTATTATATGTTATTAGCTATAATTAAAATGTATTTTTTACCTTCACCATCACTATCCTCACTATCTGTAGAGCCATCGTGCTTTTCTCTTTTTGTTTTTTTAGCCATTTCTACAGGTTTCTTGGATGGAAGTTCCAATTGCTTTTGAGTAGATTTTTTATCTTCTGTTACTAATTTTGTCGATTTTAAAGACTTTTCATCCTTCTTTAGAGGGAAAGCATCTCCAGTGGTAAAATTCATTTCTCCAGTCTTCGTTGTTGGTGATTCGTCCTTAGTGTCCTCTCTGGAAGTAAAATATACACACAATCATAGTAATTAAAATTTTAATTATGCAAATATCTTGCAACATACTTAATCGTCTGTTTAATTTTAGCTACTGCCACGATGTCTTCGGTCTTCTTAAATGGCGAAGGTGTACGCGACAAACTCTTCGAGAACTTGAAAACATAGAAAAAAATAGAACTTTTATAAAAGAGAGTAACTTAACAATATTTTCTTTTATATTATCAATATATATTATCAATACAAATATTGAATGTTTTTATTAATCTATGTGATAAGTAAATAATTAATGGATTTATTAAACTTACTCTGTGTCTGGTAACAGGAAGTGAAGTAACTTGAATTTTTTTGGGAGAAACACTAGGCTCGGGCTTTTTCACAGCGACAAGTTCTATCTTCTTAATTTCCTTTTCTGGACGCTTAGTAGGTTCTTCTTTCACCGTTTTCTCTTTCTCCTTCTTCTTGGCATCGTCCGCGTGTTCACGTTCTTTTTCTCGCTTCTCTTGTGGCGGTTTGCGTTCGATCGATTTCCTGCAAACAGAGCACAAGCACGTTTTTTGTAGAACATTATTCAACAAACATAGATACACCACGACCAAGTATCCATCGATTGCAGACTCCGTGAAAGTATCGTGTTCAAAGTGAAAATTTCACTCACCTAAGTGACTCGTCCTCATTGCTAGAGGAACTACTCTCGCTACTTTCCGAGCTACTTGATTTAGACCGGCCATTTCGCAATTCTTTTCGCGATCCTGTATCAGGCGGTCTTTTAGTTTTCTCATCCACTTTCCTGTCCTTTGCCTTATCCTTGGTACCCTTCGAACGATCAGGAGACCGCTTCTCGTCTCTCGAACGATCCACCGATGATCTTTGGTCCTTGGATCTCGATCTACGATCCTTAGATCTAGATCGACGATCCTTATCCCGTCGTTCTCTGGAGCGATCCCGTCTACTTGATCTGTCGCGTGAGGAAGATCTATCATACCTGCTCGATCGATCCCGTCCATCCGGCGAACGTCGGCTTCCACGTCGATCAGGTGAACGGCGCCTATCGCGTCTCTCCGATGACCGTCTTCGACGATCTAGTGATCTCCTGCGACGCCTGTCTTCAGGACTCGGTGACCTACGACGATATCTCGCCGGACTTCTGCGTGGGGGACTGCTAGAACAATTTCTCGTGCACACAATGCAAAGATAAATTTATTTGATATACAAAAGAATACCAACCTGCGCCTATTAAGCGGTCTGCGCACCGAAGGTGGTCGCATGCTGCGGCTGCCGCTGTATCGGTCCAATCTCTCTCGTTCCCTCTCCCTTTCGCGATCTCGATCCCGCCTCCTGTCGCGATCCCGGTCCAATGATCTTCTAAAAGATGAAAGGCATCGAAAATTCACACAAATTTTCGATTTCCTTACTAAACTTTTTGTGGTACGATTGTGGTAGATATATACCGCGAACAATATTACATTGTAATATTTACTGCACTTGATTTGGCGCAAAGAATACAACTGTGTCTCTTGATAATACAAGCAAAGTTGTAATACATATACACAAATAATTATATAAATAAGTATATAAATATATATCTTTTAGATAACTCTTCTTTTACAATTGAAAATTAAATTTATCATCAAAAATTTATAAATCTTACCTTCGATTCCTATCTCGTGATCTATCGCGTGATCTATCTCGCGATCTATCTCGCGATCTATCTCGTGATCTATCTCGTGATCTATTTCTGTCTCTATCCTTAGATCGTCCTCTATCTTTACGTGGTGAAGGACTTCTTCGCTTAGGAGCTGATTTTCTTTCCCGACTAGAGTCGCTATCACTACCACTATCATCTTTGTTGGTTTTCCTGTAGGATCTCTTAGCTTGCACGCCATCCTTCTTCTTTCGTATCTCAAAGTCGCTCTTATCCTTTCCATCTTTGTCCACTTCTGATTCAGAGCTGCTGCTCGTACTACCGTTGCGTTTTCTATTGGAATCTGCATTGGTCTTCTGCTTCTCCGTAGATTTCGAGCGGGACTTGGATGATCTCGAATCACTCGAGACAGATCTCGATTTTCTCGACTTGCTTCTGTCCTCACTCTTGGATCGGGATTTCTTGGATCGCGATCGCGATCGTGATCGTGATCTTGGCGATTTGGATTTGCTTCGCTTGGACTTTGTACGGTCCTGCGAGCGCGATTTTGATCTCCTAGATTTAGATCGAGATCTTCTAGATCTTGATTTTGAACGAGATCGTCTCGACTTCGAAGCGGGTGATCGTGATCGACGTGTCTTTGAATCTCGGCTAGGTGACTTACTTCTAGATTTCTTTGAACGATTCGTTGGCGACTTAGATGCAGATCGCGATTTCCTTGCTGACTTGTCCACTGATTCCGGCGATGGTGTGCGATTATTTTTCTTCTTTCCATCAGCAATGCTCATCAACTTGGCTTGCAATCTTGATATTGCTACTGCGGCTTCCCTATGAAAAAAAAAAAACAAAATTAAAATAAACAAAATAAAATATATTTTAATACAACACATAAATATGATTTGTTACTTACGGTTTAGTTTTAACTGGCATCAAAGGTATAGCATTTTCTGGTTGCGGCGAATCTTCTCGTTCGATCTTAACGTCAGGCATATCTTTCCCGTTATCCTTCGAATTTTTATTCGGTGATCTTGAAACGGATCTTCTCTTACGACTCGATCGATCACGATCCCTATGTCGATCACGTGATCTGCTCCTTTTACTTCTATAAAAAAAAATAATAATGATAAGTAATATGACATATAACCATGCTCTTTGAAAGCTACTTTTCTTTTAATGATAATACCTGTCTCTATCGCGATCCCTACTTCGATCTCTTCTACGCTCCTTCGATGAGCCTCTATCTTTCTCCTCCTTCTTCACTTTACTATCAGCATCATCCTTTTCTTTTTCACGCTCCTTTTCTTTCTCTTTCTCTGCCAACGATGCTTGAAGCTTCTCTTGTTCTTCCTAATATATATTCGATATATTATAACATAATATAAACCAATATTGCTTATAAAATATTTTCTTACAACTAAATATAACTAAGTTAAAATTGATTTCTTCCATTTGGTTATATTCAACTGAACATTTCTGAATGTCAAAATATAGTAAAGCAATTGTTCGTTCATGTCTAACAAACTTCATACTTAAAAAAATAAATCTGTTCTTTGTCGTTGTATTGTTGAATTAGGCCTGTTCTTTTTGGCTAAACTTTTGCACTAGTTCATCTTTCTTTTTCTTTCCTCCTGAAGAGAAAAGAAAGAAAGATGAACTGGTGCAAAAGTTCAACTAAAAAGAACAGATCTATTGTATGGTATGTATGTACTAAAACTTTCTTGTTTTTCGTCAAACGTCAAATATATATATATATAGTTATATAATAGTTATATATATATAGTTATATAATTTTAAGAGCAACAAGTGTATATATACATATACTAATCTACAAAAAACAAACTTATAATGTAAAAATGTAATGAGGTAAACTCTATGGTGGAAGAAATAAGTATATTTGTTTTTCTACCATGATAAATTCTTTATATAAAATTGCATAATATATATATAGATACTAAATATAACTATCAAATCCTACAAATTATGATTATTCAAAAAGTAATATTACAATAAAATTTATCATGTTTCACATACAGTGAGAACAAAAAATATTCGTATAAGGAAATTTGTTATAAAAAAAGTCTTATTTGTAGGAAATAAACATTAATTAGCAATTTTACACAATGAATACATTCTGTTCTAACATAAATAAACGCTTCGCATGTATTCCTGATTTTAGAAGCTAAATTTCTCGATTGTACGAATACCTTTTGAATATCCAAACAATACAATTTTTAATTTTCGTTTATTTTTTAGATATATTTTCTATAATTAATATGCATCTTTTTGGTATATATATAATTTTAAGAAACATACAACCTATTTTATTCTTTATGAATAAATTGTTAATTACTCAACAAGAAATGAAATCAATTAAACATCGAATCAACGTCAAATTGGTGTTGAAATCATCGTATCTATATCGATTCGACATCAATTCGATAACTCATTTCTCGCTGGATAATATTTGTTTTTTTAAAATAAAATTTTTTTAAAAAACTTTGTATGAATACTTTTTGCACTCACTGTATATGAATGTATCGAACATCTGATAATATAAAAATTATATGCGATATTATCAGATAGTTATATTTAACATAATCATATCACGAGTGCTTAGGAGTCTTTTTGATATTTGATTATTACATAAAAGTGAAAATTGATAATTACCAAACGCTTTTTAATTTGATCTTTTTTTTGCTGTAAGAAAGCCTCGGGAATGCCCGTAACACTTTCTTGAGCTGAGACCAGGAGGTCCCATAATTCACCCATGAAAGAACGGGCATTCCTACCATTCAAGAAGCCTGTTAGGTTGATCTGCATTTTTCGGGGGTCAGGAAACTGTAAAATATACAATGTGCAAATTTATTTCTCCGTACATAATAACGAAAAATTTTTGTGCAGATTTTTCACGACAAAATAAAAATAATGAATTTAATTTTGACTGCAATTTTTAATTGATATAATCTCTATTCCTATTCTGTTATATGAACTGCTTTTCCCCCTCGAAAAAGCAGATATTTATCATTCTATATCTAAGCGTGCCTTACCACCAATGCTGCCGACCGCACTTTTTCGTACCTGCATTAAATAGTTATATGCTGAGGAGAAAAAAGAATTATGTTAAATGTATAAGTAGCAGAAAATAGACCGATACCTCGTCACCCTTCATTATCGATTTTAATATTTACACCGCTAAGGTGCGTGTGCTGAAACGAGAGAGAAGCCTGTATATATCGAATATCTGGCGAAAATGTCCGCCTGAAAATTGGAGATAATGTGGTATAAAAGGATCAACCTTTTCACCAACCTGTGGCAAAGAGTCAAACCATGTGTAGGGATACCTCCGGGCGCCGTTTTCGCCTCAATCATGCTGACGCGTGACCGACAGTACGTCCGGAAGAATATCGAAGTCCATCGCGAACTGAGTTTTGGTGGTAAGTAAGCGCCAGGTTGACGCTCGAGCTTGCTCTTGGCGTTCGACATTGGCGGTTCCAACGGAGAATCGTAGCTTGTGGCAGACGAAAGTTCCGAAGGGCCCAAATTGACACATGGATGCCACCTTGGGATGAGACGATCGGAGAAAACGATGCCATCGCGAAGTTGAAACTCCTTGGATGAACGAAAGCTGCGAAGCTTTCGAAATCTCGCGGCTCGCGACGATAAACTACCTCGGTTGAGGCAGTTACATGAATAGAAGTGATGCAGCTCCGTAGTAGGTGATTCGTAGACATCTGCAGGCTCATGTGAAGGACGCGAGACAGGAACACGACGTGATGAAAGTATCGCCTCCCGATGTCGATGATGTTGATGTTGTTGACGATGCGTAGTCATCATGGCGATGATCGGCAGCGGCGGCGACGTAACTGCTGAAGCTGAAGATTTGTCGGCAGTTCTAAGGTGACGTTGAGATACCAACTGCCACAGTTGACACTAGGGTTGACGGCTGATAGAAAGGCGGCCAATCGGATGTAGAGAGGAGCACATCCGAATGCCATTTGGACAAAAGGGTTGGGCCCCACCAACGGTCTCTACTTATACTAACGGGGAATTCAAACACATATGATAAAGACTGACTTTGCACAGTTCAATATGTGGCAGGATCAGCTACAAATCAGTTTTTTAACCTTTTTTTCTGTTTTTTTTTTGTCGAAAGTGGATATGCTTGGAAAGGGATACATAGGTTGATTAAAAACGAGGAACGATGAAACGTATTACTGTGGCGATGATACTTATGGAAATAAAAAAAAACAATGCGGCAAGTATGCCAAAAGGCTAAGAGAATATCTGCCTCATTGCTTTGTGTTATCCAAACTCTGCACAATGTGCCGAGTTTGGATAGTAAATTCTTGCTATTTGAAAACATCGTGCTGAAATAATGCATATTTATCGATTTCCTATAATGATGAGGGGAAAAAGCCAAGTGATTGCATTACTATATTTTACTGCTTTTTCACAAGTTGTGATACTAAAATTGTATCTCTTATAAAACCATCTCATTTCACTCGAAATTAAGTGCGACGCATCTCTTACCTTCTCCTCAAGCTGATTATACACAAACTCTACCACTACATCGTCTTCCATTCCCAGAATCTGGGTGATCTTTGTTGTAATCCATGGCTTAATCACATCAAGTTTCACTTTGCTCATATCCACCTATAACAAATATGTTAAAGGTTCGCGTTACCTTAATTTTAAATCAGAGATTAGTAGTTATATACAGATTCTTAATTTATATAACAATAATTATTATTAGAGTATTTTTCTAATAAAATTATACTTATATAAATTCGATATATATTCTAAATATACTGATACTCAGTATTAAAAATAAATATTTTATTATTAATATTGATATTGATTAAGAAGATTTAAATATTCAGATATCAATTAAAGATTCAAATATCATTTGTATAAAGATATTGATTAAAGATTCAAATATTATTCATATGAAGAAATAGCAAAATTAAGTACTTCAGTTATTTAACAAATTTTATTTTCGTAACATTTAATTTTTGTGTTAATTATCTTGCTAAACATTCTCGCAAATGTAAATTGATATCAACGGAACATTTATAAAGTAAATTAAAAAAATGATTTTGAAAAAATAAAAGATATCAATTACTTTTTGTGTCAATGAATCTCCAAATTTCATCTGCTTTAGAAGCTTCTTCTCCTTGTCGCTGAACCTGGTGTCCTGCGAAGCAGTCGTCCCCTGCAAAAAGGAGACAAACATGAAAGATAAAATCTCATATAAAAAAATATGTTTTTTGATATAGAGACTAGAAATAACAAATTATCAATCTCTAAAATATTTAACATTGCAGGATAATAAAAAATTTTATCACTCTTTGGCAAAATGTAGAGAAGACGCTAACGATTCCGACTTCATGATGGAAACTTTCCAATTTTCCTAATCCTTCGGAATTAGAAATTTTTCAAAGTAAAATCTTTTCGAAATTAAATAGGAATATCTTGCTAGCCACGTTTCTTGAAGCCTACTTTGGAAGGATTAAAACCTACTTTGGAAGGACTACTTTGGATTGATTAAACAACGAGTTAATCAGTCGCTTAATCGCTAAAATGAAAATTACGAAATATCTTTGGCATTTCGCTGAAAGAGGGTTCGAAAATTAGGTCAGAAAATAACGCGTCGATGACGCGAGCCCCTTACTGTGTACATCATCTTGGCAACGTGCAGCAGGGATCCAGATCTCGGCGAAGCGAGGTGCGCTCAATTGGTGAAACACCAGTCGACAGCTTGTCCTCTGTGACGAGAAACAAATAGGTTAAATCACATCCATGATGATCATTGACGAACGACGACGTTCAGGAGCGATACACGCGATTTTTCATGAACAATTACCTCGCTAAAAATCATACACGGACGCAAACTTGGCTCGATTTACTAATATGGCGTCGTGCCGTTTGATCGCTCGGATCATGCAACAGGAGCAGAGAGAAACAGAGAGATCATGTCGGCTTTTTTCCTGTTACCGTCGAAGTCGCCCGTACACTATCGCCAGTACATTCATTTTCGGTTTGGGAACTACGTGGCTACATCCATTTTCTGACCCAGTCGATAAAATCATAGCACAGAGAATTATGGGCAATCATGAGCGGTAATGTATGTACGATGATTTCGACGGAAACAGGAAAAAAGTCGGCATGACCTCTCTCTAGTTTCTTTCTGTCGCATATCATCGCATATTAAATCACGTGCTAAATTGCTTTAAAAAATATAACATAAATTATAATTTGTAGATCATTTAAACATTTTGTAAATATGTTTACTATTTGTAAATTGTTTTTTCAATTTGTCATCTGATATAAATAACAACTATTAATTCGTAAATTTGGATAAACTTCCGAAAATTGGATCCCTCCGATTTCGATAAAACTTTGCAAAAAGCTTCATTTTAGGTCAAAATGAAAGCTTAAAGGGATTTTCGGCGAGACTCCCAAAAAAGCTTTTTTAAAATAATTTTTTTTAAATAAAGTAGTAAAATGAATAAATATTTGCGCGCTCACGCGCGCGCTTGCGTGAGAGTCGTGCGCCCCAAGCAGGGGGGAGAGGTGGGG